GCAAAATCATTTAGTAAGCCTTCCCTGTTAATCTGTAGAATGTTATTTTGTGGTATCAAAATATATGGTACCAAAAACTGTGTTTTCATGTAACGTGTAATGCTGAATCAAGTTATTATAATCAAACCCTTGAGCTGTAGGTATCTTCTGTTTAAGAAACTCCTTAAGCTGCCTATCAGTGTGTGCCAACTTATAGGAAATAAGGATGGAATAAGAGGATTATGGCAAGATGAGACAAAATGTAATCACCACCTTGAAATTGCCCTCTCTCTACCACTGACCCAGACTGTCTCAGAACCAAATTCTGCTACAGGAGATTATTAAATATCCAAATTGCTATTTCATATTTGTTCCTGACATGATACGTTTTTTCCCTTCATAAGGAGTTACCTCCCTCTGACCATTTTTTATGCTGGCAGCATGTGACCTGTCTGCTGGTCTCCACTGGCAGTACATCTGACTAGCTGGAATGAGAAGACTTTAGCTTAGTATAGCTTTCACGTACTGAAAACTAGACTTCCAACTCACCCAGGAAGTTTGGTTTGTAAAACTGTGTGAATCATTAGGGAAATCCATAAAGTTTCTTCCCTGTTTGGAAGGACTGGTAATGTGTTTCCCGATCCTAAAATAGCAAGACACCTATCAAGAGCTTATAGCACATAAGCTATATTATATAAGTTATTCAGGACAGGAAGCTTGCCCCCTTTCTTTTCACCCATCTCCAAGGGATCATTCTTGTACTATTTATAACTATAAACTGATGTAAAGTTAATTTGTAAGAGGGCATTTAATGGTATGTTTTGCATATGTTTTCTCAATAGCAGCATTGGCCATTATGAAGGTACTAATGTGGTTTATGACAGAAACTGAAAGTAGGATTAAAAGGAAAGCAGTTTGCAGTAACATGAACCAAGCTGAATGTAAAACCTCTCTCTCATTCAGGAAGTATGTTCAGTACGAGCAGCAGAAGTTTCCCCCTTTGCTTGTGTTGATTGATTGTGATTGCTTCATTCAGCCCTTACAGTGAGAATATTGTAAAATGCTCTGTCTATATGTGTGTGCATATTATACTGCATTTTTCTGACATATATTTATGCATGAACATATACTGCCTGGAAGAAAAAACAAGTATGAATGCTTATCTTTATTCTTATCTAGTTGTATGCTAACAATATAAAGAAACTAATTTATACAGCATATGTTTTATACATACTTCTAAAACTGTGAAATAGTTGTCTTCAGCAGCACTAAGGTGTAAGAATCAAATAGTAGCTTTTATTTCAAGTATTTAGCCTTTCAAAGTTTCCCTAAAACTTTGACTCTTTAGTTTTCTAAAGTTTTCCTTCTTAGGTTTTGTTCATCCACAGCAGCCCAAAGGCTTATTAATACTGAACCAGAAACATTTTTTTTCTGTTCCCATGGGCCGTCTTTTATAGTGGCCAGAATTGGGACTTTATTGTTGGTAGAAGCCACTTTGGTGTTCCATGTATTTGGAAGTATGATGGTCGTTAATGATATATGGCCCTTTGGCGATGGCTGATATAAGGTAAGGCTCAACCAGTCACTCGTCTCCTAGCTGTTCACGTATACCAAGCAGGCTGTGAAGCAACGTACATGAGAGCAAAGAGCAATGAGGAAAGGAAAATCTGTCTCCGATCCTGAATTGAGTACAAAGGTGCTTTTCCTCCTTCCTGTATCCATCCCACCCCACCCCGTGCACATCTGAGTATGGGGTAGCCACAGACCTTGTCTTTATGCTCTCATTCGGGGGCGTGGCATCCTCTTCTTCAAGCTGCCTACAAGTGGTGATAGTTTCCTAGTCTGGTAACTGCTGAGTTTGTACTTTATTAGGCAAGACTAGTTGCCTTCCACATGTTAAGCCTAACTTGTGTTCATGGTACCTTTCAAGACAAATTTTTGCTTTAGTACCAAGGGGTGTGGAGATGTGACCAGAGGAGGCACATCCGGCTTTAATTTACCATAAGCTCACAGAAGAGTCGTGAATTTTTCTTGAGGATGAAGAGTGTTGCAATTGCTTGGTCCGCAGGGTAAAAAGACTTCGGAATATAATGTTCTTAGTTGTCTTTAGAAAAGGGAAATTGATCTTCAAAACCTTCAAAAGGAAGCAAGCCTTTTAAGTGATTCTAAATCACTGGGGTGCTTTAAAAAATAATTTCACTGTAACATGAATTTTAATTGCCTGCCCCTTCCTCTTATTGTCATGGTACTTTCATCCCCTCTGTTTTCCTGGAAGAGAATGTTGTTATTGCTGTTTATTTTAAGAAATCCACTGGAATTTGTCCTGCAGTGCAGCAAAATTTCGGGGATGGATATGTTTTAATATTCTGTATTATGAATTTTTTTTTATATCTTTGTAATTAAAAAAAATGAAGTTTTAATGACTGCTCTCCTATAAACCCTGGACTGCTGCATTTCCAACATAAGAAGCTGAGGACAGACAATGCCAGGTGCAGCCAGAATATTGCTGCAGCCCCACAACATATCATTTTTTAACATTATTCAAATTAGTCTCAACACTCATAATTCTGTTGTTTCCTTTATTGCTGTTGTAAAGCAAATGGTTCTTTTATACAAATGTTATCTCCTGGCTATTAATTCAGTAGTTATTTTGGATTATGGCACTCCTGTTAAATTTAGGAATGTAAAACCTCATAAATATTTAAAAGTTTCAGACTGACGTGGGAAGAAATTGGTTTTGACTTGCTTTGTTAATATCCTGTTGTTCAGTTTGTAATAGATTTGGAATATATTGTTATTTCTCCACTGTTTGACAAAGGGAAGAACAATTGTAGTTAGGTAACTGAAAAGTGTTCTCCCTTGAATTGTAACAGGCTGGTAAAAGTGTTTGTTTCCAGTAAAAAATAGCAAGGAAAATACCTATTTTCCTTTAAGAGGACAAAAAACGTGAAAATTTTAATCAGAGCCCGCTTCAAAGTTAATGAAAATGCAGTAGTAGGTTTGTAAAGATAGTTTCGATAAAACAATTTCAAGTAGGTCTACTTACAATCAAGTGCTTCTGTTTCAGCATCTTTGTTATTTAAACTTTTCTCTAAGGAACAAACAAGTAAGATGGACAAATATGCTTCTTCCCTCAGAGACATTTTATAGAGAGTGTATTTACTATGCAATGAGTGTATTCATAGAATAAGTATTAGTATGCATCTTGAGTATCCCCCAAAGCTCTGAAGAATAACTGAATGATAAAAAAGTCACAATTTTTGTAAGGCCGCTGAAGGTCTGGACAGCACAGTCTATGGGCCAGCGTTCCTGTTTCACACCTAACTGTATTTTCTTTCTTTCTTCACCTCAGAAGTAAATACATAGCTTTTCAGCCAGATCTTAAAGGGTGTTAAGGTGTGACTCCTGTTGGGCTCTAGAAGTATTTCAAATGTTTCAATAATTATTCAAAAAAAGATGCTGAATCGATTCAATCTGGATAAGTACACTAGCAGACTAAGTATACAGTTAACAGAGCTTACACCTCTGCCTGCGTGCTCCAGAGGTTCTTCAGCTGTGTCCTGCGATGACACTTGATGGGTTTGTTGTATTTCCTATGTCAGTTAACTTTACTGGTGTAATGCCATGACTTTTTGCGGTATTGGCATGCTTTACTGGGTGCTGAACTGAAAACATTTCTCTTCTAGCTAGCAAGTAAGTTAACACTGCAATGTTAATATTATTTTATGGTAGGTTTACACCATCTTCTCTTACACGGTATAGCTAAACCAGCTTAATCTCTGCATAAAGTAATTATCAAGGTGGCACTTTCCCTTTGGCTAGAAAAAGCTTTTTACATGTCAATGTAAAAACTTGTTGTAGTTAGGGTGCAGTATTTCAAAACACAAGTTTTCAAAAAGGAAACCATAAGATGGTCATATAGAAGCTGTAACTGTGAAGGTGAACTTACAGTCGCGTGAACAAATGGGTATTTTATGCAAGTGAGTAGCTGGATGTGCCACACCAGCTGAGTCCATGCGATTTTAACTAATTCAGCATGGTCCAGCTCATGGTCTGTGGGCTGGATCCAGCCCCTTTGCGAGTTTTCTACCTGAGCCATCACCTTCTCACTGCAAGAGACAGGGAACAGATGCTCCTTCAGCAAATGCGGCCTCCTCCACCTGCCCTCTCTAGGGAGATGAGTGGCAAGCCCAAAGGGGCGTAAGGAAGGGCAAACAAGCCTGTGAGGGTCGTCAGCACCTCCGCCTGGCTCCTGCAGGTGCTGCCACTGGGCCAGCCACAACACATCTGTGCGCGCAGCTGTATGCATTAGCCAGTCCTGCAGACTCATTCGTATGTTTTTGTGTGCATGAAAAGCTCATTCCTCTCTTACAAACAGAACAAAAGTCTGCTGTTACATGGACAAAGCAAAATGTAAGGCTTTTGCTGTTGTTTATTGACTTACTACATAATCAGCATGTTGAAAGTTATTTTTATTTTACTTTGAAAAGTACTTCTGCTAGATGTTTCTTGTATTACTCTTTTTTTGGTTCTACGAACATGTAGTGAACAGTGTAAAGCAAAGGGCACTTTTATGCTTATGAATGTAAAGACATTTGGATGAAGAAATTCTGCAGTGCAGTATATTTACTTTGCATTTCTGAATGGTAGCAATTAAAATTCACAGCTGCTGGCTGTCCAGATGTTTCTTGCATTACAGCATTGTAATGTGCATTGGAATACATTGTGTTACTGCAGTAGCTGTAAAGTGGTCAGCTCTCACGTCTAAATGCCGTATACAGGCTCCAGTTGGGATGGTGAGCATATTTCCTGCTCATATCAGGTTCTTCTCCTTCCCACTGTTTCCCTGCTGTTAGCTTGACATGTTTGTATTTCTCAGATGAAGACTTTTATTGCTCAGCATTCAAATCAAGCAGGGGACGTATTGGCAGGTCAGAACTGATGTATGGATGGTTCCTTGTAAGAGTGGCACAGAAAAAGACCCAAGTTTTGAATCAGAAGTTTCCCTTTGGCATTTCCAGGCAGCAAACATCCCTCTGGTGTCAGAGCTTGGCATTGATGATATCCATTTTGATGACTTCTCGCTTGATGTGGATGCCATGATTACTGCAGCCCTGCGGATGTTCATGGAACTTGGAATGGTTCAGAAATTTAAAATTGACTATGAGGTAACCATCTGCGCTGCAGAGATATCTGCTGCTTTTATCTTGGCACTGCTCTGTCCACTTGTACACTTTTAGTAGCCCTGATACAATTTGTACTTTTCATTTCAGACGCTGTGTAGGTGGCTTTTGACGGTTAGGAAGAATTATCGAATGGTTTTGTATCACAACTGGAGGCATGCTTTCAACGTCTGCCAGCTAATGTTTGCCATGTTAACTGTAAGTATCCAGCTACAGACACAATCCCGTAAGAGCTTTTATTGCCACATTGCCTTACCTGTCTAAACGTTTTCCAACATTTGATTTCTTTTCTAGTTATTATGATGCTCATTCATTTCCAACAGAAATGCACAGAGAATTAGGTTATTCAACTTAAGGCAGCACATATTTGGCAAAACCTTATAGTGTTTTAGTGACAGTGATATCACAGGCACATTAAAGTGACTGAAAACAGATGGCAGTCTTGGAGTGAGCTTGTTATTATAGATCTTGATCTTACAAAAATGTTTTTCTTTTGCAACTCTCTGATTTGACATTTATTTCAGACTCTTAAATTGGGAGGTACAAAACCAAGGAAGATTGGAATCCCAGAAGAAGTATTTATTATGTTGATATTTATTACCTTCTTATGCAGCTTCATCTAAATAGTTGCGGAAGATACTGCCTTAAAAGGTTTTAAGATTATCTTCCACCATAGTGATCTAAGTGAATCTTGTGTCTCCATTGGACACTGTAACACTTCTGGGTTTTATTAACATGTATCTCCACCAGTACCTGTAAGTCCTCTCAGCATACAAGTAGATTCTGTTGAAAGCAGCACTGCTTTTACTCGCTCTCTCTCCTACCCCGCAGCAACCTCACTGCATGAAATAATCCGTGTTTGGCTAGGTAATTCTTGTAAATGTATCAATAAAAAGCTTGGTGGTCCTGGATGTTTAATATTCTGGTTAATACAGCGAAAGAGAAGCAACATGTCTGTTTGCACACAACACTTTCTGCTGTAGTTTACATTTTGGGTTTGTCTTATCTCCAGATAAAAATAAGAATTCAAGTTTTTCCATTTTTTCATGTTCAGTTTTAATGGCCGGAGTCATCTATTGTGAACCTTAAAGTGGTCATATTAATAGCATTTGTGCAAGTATTTATTTATCTGGGATATCATGTGCTTGTTCCCTAATTTTTAATCACTGAATGTTTGTGTTCTCCTTGCTGGCCGGTCTCTGTGGCATGGTTAGCATCGGGACCCTGTCCGTAAAGGTGGAGACTCCACAGCCTGTGCCATTCGCAGCACAGGTCAGCGCCGTGTTAACATGGACTGAAGACAGTCCGTGGCCTGTTACCTGCTCACAGGGCACAGCTGTCGTGTGCGTGGGTTCCCAGCTGTCCTGCTTCATTTGGCATTGTCTCTGTGGCACAACTGTGTGTGTCGGGCAAGAAAAAACAGAGTATGACGTCCCCTAGCAGGTAGATGTTGGTATAGTGCTAGGTCCGTCCCAGCTATGTGGGTTTGTTCCTGCGAGCATTTACGGAGGCGTAGCAAAGTTGTACCATACGCCATGAGACAAAGGAAATGGAGACCTTCGACAAGAGAGAAAGGTCACCTCTTCTTCTGGGTGTGAGACTGTTCAGCTGAGCGGAATTAACGTTGTTTCAGCAGGCACTTTCTGATGATCTCTAATGAAATCTCATGGTAATGTGTGGGCATAAGTCGTTTTTAAGGTTTTATAAACTTGACATGCTTTTTTTTAAGTTACAGAAAAATGAAAAGCTTTTTACTCTGAGGAGTAAGGGCAAAGTCAAGCAGTGCCTGGGAATTCAGCTGGGAATTACATTAATTTCTGCCAAATGCTGCCAGGGGGTGAGGAGCCCCCAAACCTCACCCGTGAGGACCTCTAGGTGGAGCTCCGAGGCCAGGTTTTCGGCAGGCTGTTCTTCCGGTGGGAAAGACTCTCTCCCACCAGGCGTCTCCATCTCGGCTAGCGGTGACTACATTGGCAGCCAGCAGGGAGAAAGCAGATCCCTGCGGCTTCAACAGCCACCAGCGAGCCTGCGAGGCCTCAGCCATGAACTGCTTTGACCGTGGTTCTCAAAGTATAATTTCAGGATCCTTTTAGTAGTGAGCACAGGGGTGCAACTGTCTGTGGGAAGTGATCCGGGATTTTCAAGCCAAGCTCATTTCATTGCCCATACTCCTGGTAATAAACCAAACAAGCAATTCCACGCGTAGGGCTGGACACATGTGCCCATGGCACTGGACTCGCCACGCATCCTCCCCGCTTCGCTGTGGCTCTGGCTGAGAACAGAGTTAAGTTCAGGTGTATGATCCACTTGGGCTGCTCTCCCTTCCAGAGATAGAAAGATTGATCTTGTGAAAAAAGACACAAAAGAGAGAGTCAAGAAACTAGTAATAGCACAAGGCTTGCTCTTACTGCATTTGCCTTGGGGGAACCATCCGAGTTAGTATGCGCCTTGGTTTTTTCACCTGCAAAAAGGGGAAAATTCTTTGACCATTGGAGAGGGGCTCTGATGGTTAAGAAGGCACTGCTTTGTGCAGTTGTTGCACCCTATTCCTGATTTCTCTGTGACAGTCAGCAATATTGACTGCACCACAAATATAAATCAATAGGTCTATTTTAGGGCATTTTCAGGTGGGACTTACCATAGCATATGGTAATGTCTAATCTGTAATGTGGTGGCCTCTAATGGCCCAACCATGCTCCCACTGAATGCAGAAGGAAAATTCAGCTGGGTTGAACATGCCAAACGACAGAAATCCAACAAAGCTTAAACCAGTTGTTTCACTCCTGGGTCAGGCTTCTGCATATCTAAGGTATGTTCCTGTATATCTAAGTACGTATTTTCTCTCTCCGGTTAGACACTGAACAATTATAAGCCCAGTCCTGCGAGCCATCCTTCTGTATTTCAGGCTTGCCCAAATATTCTGGAGACAAGCACTGAAGCAAGACTGCTCCTATGAGTTAAGGACATCACATGAGAGTAAACCGCAGGATCAAGCCCAGGCTTCATTATCAATGCCTTTGCCTAGCACAGTTCACATTGATACTTATTTCAAAAAGTAAAAATGACCAAGTAAGCGATGCAAAATTAAAATCCCATCTGGTGTGCTAATAACAAAACATACACATGTGGGGAAGGTATAATGAATGCAATTCATTTCCTCACATGAAAGAATGACCTCCATAACTCACAGGAGACGCTGCCACTCATGAGTTATGTGTCATTCCTTTTCTGGTGAAAATAAATTTTACTACCCCATCGTCTGTAGCCATGTATTTTTTCTCTCTGTGTAAATTCAAAAAATGGGGAATTATAATCCTCTATTTTCTTGCATTATGTTCAAAGCAGATATCCCCTTACTGTAACATTGTTTTAAATTAAATGCTTTTTATTAAGTGAAATATGCTATATTTCTCTCATATATTCAATGAGAAGACTTTTGATTAAATAAAATGTTGCATTTATTTTTGAGATATTGCTACTGTTAATAAATTCCTTAATCAGCTTTCCTGCATTTGCAATAGAGGTTGAATCCTTGAGTTTAATCAAAGCTTGTGTCATGCTAAAGAATATTTATTACAGCATCAATTTTATATTATAAAACTTCTATTTTAAGTTGTTTTAACTTAGCCATGAAGATTTCCTCTAGATTGACACATGGCATGTTGTCAGTTACAAACCTATTTTTTAATCCCTTTTTTAAAAATAGACCTTGATTATTATTTGTTCTATAAGAGCAATGTTTAAAAACTAAAAAGCGAAAACACTATTTTTTAGAGAATTTCCTCTGCCTGGGTAGCTGTTACTGAAACTTAAAAAAGCAATGCCACTAGAAATCAGGAGAATCTCTTTTATAATATTAAACAGTCCTTTGTATCTGTACACCAGTGGATTCTACATGAAAGGAATCTTTTTTCCTCATACTTGATCATCTTTTCTGATAGGTAAACTTTGAGCACAATTATAAAGCTTTTGTAGCAAGTCCTGCACTTCCTCAGTTCCCACTGAAATGCATTCCTGAGCACCTGGGGGAGCTTGGCTCCCTGTACTGCCTAAATATTAACTGTGGCCGCATTTCAGACTACGAAAACAGAGACTATTTGGATTTGAATGTGCATTTATTTAAGTAGAATTTGCGGTCTTCAGGGTGAATAGCAGAGTTTTCACATGGTATTGCAGCAATTGACTGGCATTTCTGAGTGGGCTGTAAGTTCCTACCAGGTAAGGACATCAAGTCCCACCGATACTCACTGTCTTTGTATCACTTAACCCTCTTCTTGCTAGCGGGTGAAATTATGCCCTATTGAAAATCAATGGAATTCACAATTTCTACACTCTGTTAGTGTTCAGCCTTGGTTTGGTCATCCAATATAAATGTATTTTATACTCCTTTTATATAATTCCCTTTCATACTAACTAGATTGTGTGGCTAATTGAGGAGTGTCGTTGGAGACCGGCACTGTGGAAAGACAAGTGTTATGATTTTCCAGCTTAGCCAGTCATTTTTGCAGGCAATATGACCTTATGCTTCTGAAGAGTTGAAGAACCAGATTGTTTCTGCCGTGGGTAAGATGCATGGCACCAGAGAGGTGATGTCCCACCCAGGCTCCAGCACCTTCTCCAGGCAGGATCTGTTCAGGATGCTTGAGGTTAGCAATAACAGTAGTATTTCTTTTCTGACATGAGGCAGTTCAGGCAGGAAAATCGCTATGGCAAGTATCCACGAGGAGAAGTATAGTGGCAAAAAAATATTTCTAGGATCAGCTCCCCCATTCACACAGGTGTATCTGGTCTGAGCTGCTTGTGGGGAATTCCAATACATCAGTTTTCAAAATTCTCTCCCAAATTCAAGTGGGTGTCTGCAGCAGAAGTATGCTATGTGAGACATTTCCTCTTTAAATCATGCCGCTTCATTTTGAGTGTCCCAGATAACAAATTCTTAATCGTTCGTAACAGTTCCATAGAGTACGTTTTAGCTGGTTTCTTTTATAGGTCTTTTGATTTAGCATCTCGGCTATCTCTGACAGTAGGGATTGACTGAGATGGTCACCTCAGGATTGAAGAAATCTGGCTAAGTACTTCTCTGAACAATAATTTCAAAATGGAATAAAATTTGGTTTGTATTTCTCTGATATGAAATTCCAGTTCCTGTCTTAGTGTATAGTTATTGGTGTTTGTTTTCAGCTCTTTTTGCCTTTAGTGCCTTCTGGGTAGTGGAGAAATGGCATGCTGGAAATGTAACAGAGAGATAATAACAGATCACTCCAAGGACGTTATCTATTCTGCTAACCATCTAACATACAGCAGGGAATATAATATGACAATAAAGCATTTATCTTCTCCTTACTGAAACGTTCATGGTATCAAAATGAAGTTGACTGTTGCTCAATGGACTAACATTACTTATCTCTTCTGCTACTGATAGTTACAGCTGCTATTTTTTTTCTGCTCTCAGACTGCAGGATTTCAGGAGATTCTGACTGAAATTGAAATTTTAGCTTTGATTGTGGGATGCTTATGTCACGACCTTGACCACAGGGGAACCAACAATGCCTTCCAAGCCAAGTAAGTTTTCTAATTCTTATTACTTTAATCTGTTTTTTTCCCACAGAAGAGCAAAAGGTGACCAGGATAAAGAATGAACCATGAATTTCAGGCCTCCTAGGCCAAGGCCAAGTATTCTTATTCTTGCACGTAGTGAGGGACTATCCGTCTTTATCATTCGCTTTTCTTTTGGGTAATTGCTGGCTAGTCCTTTGTATCAGGCTGTTGATTGTGTTATCCCTTGTGAACTGACACCGCTTATTGAAATGTGGTGCCAAAACTTGATGTTCTCTTCAGGCTGCGGTATTATTGATTCTGGTATTAAATCCAGAAAACACTGGAACTGTCTATCTGGGTTGTTCTTGCTGCCTGGTATGCATGATGTTAAGCAAAACCTTGTTCAACTATTAAGAAGAAAAGAAAATAGGTAAAACTTGAAATCATGCTTTCACAAAAACTTTCACAAAACATATAGGGAAGCATACATAAAGTAATTCCTAGCTTATGGAGTATGAAACCGTTGCCATCATGCTGGAGCTCAGATGCATCTCGTCTACAGCGGGTGGCCAGAGTAGTTGCCTCACCACCTACCCGTCAGTTGTGGAGCACACAGGGTCCCTGGTCTGTAGAAATGCCTCCTCCCTGGCCTGCCCCACGCGCCAGAGCACACAGAGCCTGTTCGGAGACATGCTGCAGTGGGCAGGGGTGGGCTGGCCACTGCCTGAAATGGTTGGTACCCACCAGAACATGAAGCTGGATCTCGAAGGCAGATTCTTACATTGCCTATGTGAAATCTTGCTCTCCAGACCATTTTGAATTCTAAAAATGAACTTTATTCTATTCAAAGTGCCTAAGACCTGATTCAGCAGTCCTGACTTGCGTATATTTTTACTGTCCAGGCTGCTGCCCTCAGACACATTAGTGAGGTAGAAAGCAGGTTTGTGGAAGGTTTGACGGTACTTCTTCTTACTGTAGTGGTAAGGGAACTCCCTTGACCAAGGTCAAATTGTTTCCAAAATCTGTGTTCCCTGACAACGCGGGGGACAACAGGAAATGTCCCCTGACAACGTCCTGGCCAAGCTGTGAAACAAAGCTGTCAGACACAGAGACTCCTCCAAATCCCATGTTGTTTTCTCAGTTCCCCAGGTCCTCTACAGTCACAATATGAGACCTTGAGGCTCTCTTGTCCTGCAGATCCCAGCATGCGTTTGCAACTTTGTCTGTTCCGCATTACTGCTAATACTCCAGCGTGACAGGGAAGTGATCAGATGGTTGTCCAAAGATATTTGAAAGACAGGGTGATGTTGTATTAGCTTATTTTGTCCTACCTTTTGCAAAAATACTCTGCTGCAATCTGTGTATGCACGGGCTGCTGCATTTCTGGGGGTGAGTTGCCTCAGTGAACATCACTCAAACTGATGTTTCTGATATTCGCTAAGCTGCCATTTCCTGAGCTATTGGTGTTGTGGTAGAGTCTCAATGAAACAATGACACTGTCTGGATCTTCAATCACAATAGCAAGGAAAATCAATTGCAGTGCTCAAAAGACAGAGCTCATGGTGCAAAGGTTACCAAGCACTGCTAGATGCCTTTCTGCAGCTGAATCTTGAAGAGAATCAAAAAAGACGAGACAAATGGGAAGGAATCTCAGCTGATTGATGTTTACGTTCCTAATTTACAAAAATGAGACCTAAGATTTACATCCTGACCATTTTAGGCTCTGATTAAGTTAACCACTTCTCCACTGTAACATTACACAACAACATCTCTTGTGCAGAGGGATGGCTGAGTTAAAGGTAGAGGTTTCAGCATTAGACTGCTATCACTTATACTTGTTGTTTGACAATGGAGTACAAAGAGGAGGCTACCATTTTACGATTCCATAAAAAAATTGCTGAAGACATTCAACAAAAGACAAACGTTACCACACATGTATAAAACATCCCTGAAAACAGAAGCTGTAGTTTTCATAACAGCAGCTATGATTTATTCCCCTAACCTGACTTATAAATTTAAGCATCACATTTTCCTATTTTATCTTCAGTGTTCAATACTGCTGTCCTGTGTGATGAAAGTTCAAGAGGTATATGATGGAGGCAATATCACAGTTGTCTGAAATGGCTCTGTTATATATCTCAACACCACATTCTCTAGGGATGATGTTTCCTGGACATCCTTCTCTCTAATATAGCTGCTTCTGATAATTAAGTATCAGTATGGTGCAATTTTATAGTATATGCTCCTAGGAGACTCTTTCTGTTTGTCTGTAGCATAATCTCTTATTCTCATTTCTTTGGAAAGAAAACCCATCTTGTTGCTTTAGGCTGGGTCCCAGAAGTGAAGTAATGGTGAACAGTAACTCTTCTGACAATCCAGTCCTGTTCTCTGCACCTCACAACGATTCGCAATTTTATAATTGTATTCCATAGATTTTTGTTCTTTAAACTTAGAAAACCCACGTGCTCTGTGCATTTTGAAGCTAATTTTGTTTTTAAGACAATAAACATGATGAGAAAATACATTCTAAAGAGATGCTAAACTTTACTTTTACATTCACTGCTCTCACTTGAATTACCTTAGAATTTTTTTAAGTGCATGGTTTTACATACAGACAGAACCTCACTGCATTTGCAGTTGGCTTTTTGTTGTTGTGTTTTGGGGTTTTTTTGAAGAGTTTGTAATCATCCATTATAAGCCATTGTAGTTATATCTATTAAGAATTAAAAAGTAGTAGCAGAACAGCCGGTCCTAGCTCAAGGACATTACTGTTTGTCTTTACTGCACAGTGGTGCGCCCGTGCTGTTGCATTGCTGAGGCACTTTGAAAGTTGCATTACAAAATTTCATGTAGTTCCAGGAAAATCTTTAGCCAGCTGATGATATTTAGCAAGGTCTGGAACATAAATGCCTTGTATCTGGCTTTAAATTAGTAATTTGATCTTGTCAGCTGTCTCGAGTGTAGTTGCTGAAACGGAGAGGGAGAGTGTGGCTACATGCTTTCGTTCCTAAATTGTCTCTGAAACCTGCTTCGTAAGCAGACGAGTGGTATTTGTTGACTCCCTGTGTTCTGTTTCAGGAGTGGATCAGCCTTAGCTCAGCTCTATGGCACCTCTGCTACCTTGGAGCACCACCATTTCAATCATGCTGTCATGATTCTCCAAAGTGAGGTACAAAAGCATTACTATTAATCTCACTGTAAGCTGTTGGGCTGCTTCAGCCAGAGAAAGGAAATACCACACACAGTACCTTTTTAATGCCCTCTCCTTGAGGAATTATTTATTGGTTACCACAAAGGTCACAACTAGCACAAAATTAAACAACTACAAATGCTGATCATAGAGCCCAGAGATTATATTTGTCTCAATCAGCTAGGGCAAGGAGAACATATCCTAATCAAATTGTCAGCTTTTCTCAGTCTTCTTACATATATCCTGCTCAGTGGTTTATAGGTAGGCGAAACAAGCTCTTACTTTTCCCCACAGGTGTTGTATTTAGAGTGTCACAGTCATCCTTTACTCGACCAAATTAATTTCTTTGACAGTCTTTGTGTAATCAGTATTTTTATGATGGTTTTGCATAATTTTACTGAATTATTTTTTAAAAAAATTAGTATCAGTAATATCGTGCTGTCCAAGGTACACTTGCTGCTTTGCAGATACATATAAACACATAGTTCTTGCCTAGAATATCTTATGCACAACAGTATGCAGCATGCACTGCCCCAGAGATGTAGTAAGTGAGAAAAGTAGAAGGATGGACACGCAATCCTTACAAAACAATGGATGTATTTCCTTAATTTACACAGATAGGTTGTTACAAAATGCGCTCAATACATACAAAAACAAAAATGTTTTTCATGCAGCACAACTGGAGACCATATGCTGATCTGCAGTAACTTTGGAAGAGCATCTGGGAATGTCCTGTGATCACAGGCAAATGGGAACAGGGTGATGGCTTTACCTCTGTGTACGGTGGCACAGAGATTAGTCATGGGACTGTGGCTTTAATGTTCAGTTTCTCGACATTATATTAAAAAAGTAGACATAAGAAAGGAGAGCAGCAGCATGAGATTTAAACAGGTCAATCTGCTTAGCCTAGCCTAGCTTATCTAAAAGGTGATAGTAGGAATTAAATGGCTCCTTATACTACCAGGAAAAGGCATAAGAAAAAGCAGCATTTGAAAGTTAAACAGACTGGTTCAGAATAGGAAAAAAGGAAGGGGTTTTTGGTTTTGGTTTTTTTTTTTTCCCCCCTAAACCAATAAGACCTGAGCCCCTGGAACAAGCTTTCCTGCGACACTGTGATTTCTCTAGTTCCTGAAATCTTCATCATGACTGAATGTCTCTCTGAAGACAGGCTCAAGACATGGACAACTCTGTGAAAGCTCATGTCAGTCTAAATGCTTTTCTTTATCTTTTCCAGCTTAAAAATCAAGGAATTTATGAAAAAAAAGCTTTTTTTCCTTGGAATCTACTCCAGCTTCTTTCAGAGATGTAAAATATTACTTGAAATGCAAGTCCCCTTTGATCATTCAGGCAGCTTCTTCTCCAGGTCCTCATTTCTAGACCAGAAAATTAATCCTCCGGGATTTTTATCCAATAGATACTATTTGCTAATGGAACACAACACCCTTTAGTTTGGAATAAATGCAGATTTGGATTCTCCAATCTACTTAAAGATAGACCAACTTTCACCAGCTGAGCAGTTGGTCTTCTTTCTCAAATAGGTTGAAATTAGATTATATCCTATCCACTAAGGTCAATATTCTAGTCCGTCTTTGCTATCTAGAAGGAAACATAGTATATTGTATTATTTCCTTAGATTTTTATCATGTTGGACAAAGGACCTATTTATCCTTTACTCTTGGCATGCTAACCTCAGTATAAGTGATCTTGAGCTTTGTAGTGACATGGTTTTATACACCATGAAACAGGTCAGAAAGGCAACAGATATTATAGAATAACAGACAACTTGGTAAATTACCCCTGTTGTAAAAGCTGCTACTTTCCTGATGCATTTTGCTTTATTTGCTTCTGAGTACTTTGGTTTTAAAATTGTTTTTCATAAATAAGTTTTAGATTCTCAAATCCTTCTCAATATTTAGCTGAAAAGAAATAATCATTTCATTGCCACAGAGAAGACCATCTTTTATGCATGGCAAATTATTTTTTTAGTCCAACAATTAGCTGATCTATTAAAAAAAAATCTCTACTTCCAGACCTTATCTCGTCTATGTCCTCAGACCATCATGGTTATAGCAAGCCTGTTGCTGGAAAATTCTTGTTTCTAAGGGCGTTTTAATCTTCCTAAGCAGTAGATGGCAGTGCATACTGAATGTGTGCATTACAGTGCTAAATACCACCAAAATAAGACTCCATTTAGCAAGATCCTCGTTATTTCTATAGGTAATTAGGTGGAAAAAAAGTGTAGTACTTTTATTTATGTTAATTTAGTTATATGTGACTAATGTCACAAAGACCACTTCTTAAGCTTACATTTAGAATTTTCCATTAATTTTGTTTCTTTCAGCATATTTTCTCTATGTTCATAGAGAAATTACAGGATCTCTGTCCCTCTTAGTTTTCAAAAATACAGTTACAAAAGGATCTTCCTGCTCTCAAATAGCAATATTAAATAATTAGTTTCCTTTTATTCTGGCCATGGACCACCTTTCAAATTCTTAATCCATGATCCCTTAAAAAATAGCGTATTGTGCCTACACAGGGCGTTTAAACTGCATAAAATTGCAGTTCTTTAGCCTGCATAGGCAATGCTTGTATACACTGTAAGACAACGCAGTAATGGGCAGAGTGAGCAAATGGGCTGTTTTGAATGAAAAACTGATTTAGTGTCTTTGACTGCTCTAACAGCAGTTTGTGTGCCTGCAAGCAGCAGCACAGATAAATCTATTAGGAGCACAACTCAAAAGCTGTAATGCACAGCTCTCCAAAACATTTAATAAGAGGAAAGATTGAGATGTATCCATAGTTCTTCCCCATAAACTGAGTCTGTGCAGCGTCAGAGAAAAGAGTAAATCTTTCCTCAAGAGGCTATAATTTCAGCAGAGTTTAGAAAAACATCCCAGGTGCTTGATTACAATCGTCAACTCTTCCACACCAATGTAATCTCAGCAGTATTAACATTATTATTTTGTCGTAGTTTTGCCATGAATCAGAAAAGGCCTCTGTTACAGGGAAACAGTAGACTAAAGAGTTAGAAAACCTTTTAAAAACCTATATTGATTGCTAGCCCTTTACCTCTTTTATCTCTTTCATTATAGGGTCACAACATCTTTGCTAACTTGTCCTCTAAGGACTACAGTGACCTTATGCAGCTTCTAAAGCAATCGATATTGGCAACAGACCTCACTCTGTATTTTGAGTAAGTATTGGCATTTCTTGTATTTGACAAATGAAAATTCGAAGAACTTACTCTAATGACCTATTAAATACCAATAAGGATATATAATATGAGAAATTAGTGTTTAGCTGTGGTTGAAGAGATTTAGTCTAATACTTCGTATATCTTAGGCTAATAGAAATAGCTCAAGTGTCCAAGTAAGTTTTACTTTAATGTGTAACATGTCTATATCAACAAAAAGCAAGTGAAATCCTAGGCTTATACTTCAAAGCAATCCCAGGAATCAGTTACAGCTCAATCCCGTAATTCTTCTGTCCCTTCTGTGATCATTTCTTCAGGCATGTAGAAAATCAACGACATTTTACAATTCTTTTCCACCATTTCAGAGTTTCTAAACATGTATGCTAAGAAAAATATTTAGTTACAGACCCAGTTGCAGAGGTAATGAAAGCATACATACCGCTTCTTTGAAGACAAATTATGCCAATTTGCATCACATGAGAATAGGTCTTAAAAAGCTTAACTCGAGAGAAGTATAATAGGATCTCTCTCATCCAGTTTTCTTCCTTGTCCTTGTTTGCAAATCAAATCTCTAAGCAGACTTCAAGTTGGTGCTATTTTATGTTTTTCACGTACTGTTAATTATTACTAAGCTCTTCCCAGTAAGAATGTGTGAGAGCGTGTGTATAGTTGGAGGAGTCGTGGTGTCACCGTCACACTGCACTTTTGACATCCCCCTCTCTGGCACATGCCTGTGGCCGACTTACAGGGAGAAGTGCTGTCAGATGTGCAGTTTCAGCGTACTACCTTCCCAGTCTTGACAATAATTCATCCTTAGGAAGTTTTGTTTGATGTCCATTAGCATCCTATCCCAAACAGTGCTGGGTAGCATTTAGTAATGTTTTTCTCAACTTTTAAGGGGGTATACCTGGATTCCCCCGCTTTTTTGTGCTGGTGGTTGATACCAAACCACGTTTCCAGAAAACTTCAGGCAAAGTCTTTACCTGGAAATTGTTCAACTATCTATATCAACATTGTATCTTTAACTGTTAATTGTAAAAATACTGACTGGGATGCTGCAATGTTTGCTTTGTCTTTTTTTCTCAGTATTTGGTTACTGTGCCAAGGGTTAAACAGTACTGGCAGTAGACACACTGATATTCTTTGTTTCCTGCATGTCTGTTCTCAGAGAAGTTGTATTAAGAAAGGGTTTGAATGAATAGTTTTATTATAAATAACTTCTAAACTGATTCATTAGTCCATGAAGAAATTTCTGCTTGCCAACATGAAAATCCTGAGCAGGACAAATAAACCCTTTTAAGCATACTGTTTTTGAAGCTGTCTGTTAGGATCGCTTGTTATCTGGGGGGCTGGTATGACGGCAGAATTTGCTGACAGCTTTAAGTGAGATACAAGGACCACAGGGATGTGTCAGTACGGGTTCTCCTGTCTCACCACAAATAACAAGTGCTGCAGAAATGTTTTGTGTTGTCAAGGAAGAGATGAGTGGCAGGGGATGAGAGGGCAGCTGCCCTGGCACAGCCCCATGTGCTCCCCCTGGCCAGGACCCTGCAGCCCCTGGAAGAGCCAGAGGCTCTGCCCTGGAGAGGGCCCGCAGCAGTGGCTTGGGAGGGAACCCAGTCCAGACCCAGACGAGATGGAGCTCCCTTCCCTGCCTGCCTTAGGTTGAAAAACTACATGGTCAAGTTGTCTTTCCAGTTTTAATACAGAGAAATAATGTCCAAAAAGGGACATCAGCTGAATTTCAAGATTATTCTTCCTTGCTTGCATAATTGATTTTTATGTGCTACATAAAAATCTGCTTTTATGAATCAGAAAACTTTTAGCAAATGAGGCCTCTTTACTCAGAAGTCTGCAAATAAGTTATCTTTTCTTCTTGTGTTATTATGATTCATTAATCAGGTAGTTGTTATGCTACTTGACTTCCAAAAGTGCCTGAAAATCACTCCCTGGAAACGTTGATGATTTACACTTCTTAAAGCCACCCTATGTGAACAGATGTTTCCACACAAGTACCAAACTTGTTTTTTCAGTTTGCTACGTCTTCAATATTTTTGTAGAGAAGGAAATTCTCACATAAGTATTCTTAACCTAATGCTAAACCTAATGATCACAAACTCCAGCTAGCAAAACAGCAACAAAAATTCAGGCAGAGCAAGGCCTTATGACCTTCTCAAGGCACTACTTTTCTACAAGCAAACAAAAAGATTAGCTTCAGTGAAAGATCAGATGGAAAATATACTTTTTTTTAGTAGATAATTCTAGACAATGATGCTTATAGATAATACAACAAGCAAAAGCATGGAACCAAAATGAAGTTTATGGAAAAGTTTATGGAGCCAACAATGTGCGCTTGCAGCCCAGAAGGCCAACTGTATCCTGGGCTGCATCAAAAGCAGCGTGGCCAGCAGGTCGAGGGAGGCGATTCTGCCCCTCTGCTCCGCTCTGGTGAGACCCCACCTGCAGTACTGCCTCCAGCTGTAGAACCCTCAGCACAGGACAGATGTGGACCTGTTGGAGCAGGTCCAGAGGAGGGCCACGAAAATGATCAGGAGGGTGGAACGCCTCTCCTATGAAGAAAGGCTGAGGGAGTTGGGGTTGTTCAGCCTGGAGAAGAGAAGGCTTCGGGGAGACCTTATTGCAATCTATCAGTACTTAAAGGGTGCTTATAAGAAAGATGGTGGCAAACTTTTTAGCAGGGTCTGTTGCAACAGGACGAGGGGGAATGGTTTTAAACTAGAAGAGGGTAGATTTAGACTAGATATAAGGAAGACATTTTCTATGATGTGGGTGGTGAAACACTGGAACAGGTTGCCCAGAGGGGTGGCAGATGCCCCATCCCTGGAAACATTCAAGGTCAGGTTGGACGGGGCTCTGAGCAACCTGATCTAGTTGAAGTTGTCCCTGCCCATGGCAGGGAGGTTGGACCAGATGACCTTTAAAGGTCCCTTCCAACCCAAACTATGATTCTATGATTCTAAATTCACTCAAATGATGTCGTGAGCCACTGAGCTGTAGAGCAACTGGATTTGCTGTATATAGCAAGACAACTTTCCCTTCTAGGCAAAATACAACCAGAGTCAATGTTACTAAAAGACATTGCAAAATTGTTATCATTCTGTTTATTTCTGAAATCCTGGCATATTATGTTTGCTTAATAATAGCAAACCTCTTCATTTTGGATACCATGGATAAGCAACCAGTAGGAAACACTAAATTATTTCCTTATACATGGCTGCTTTCCTCAGGTTGACTCCTTCCTACACTAGAAATTCTCTGTGGAGTTGGACTACTACTTCTGCATCCGTTTAAATGGATTTCAAAGAGAATTCTTATTTTAAAGTTTTCAGCTTAACATAAGGCCTTGAGACTCACATTTTCAGTTACTGTTTATGGATATCTATATTTTAAATTTGAATGTTTGAGGTTTCTGGGATGTTATCTTCCTGAGCTTTCAGCTTTAAATATTCTTGCCTGGTTTTTGTCCAGTAACATATGAGTTGCCCAAAATATCCAATACTTCAAAATGAAATTATTACCAAATTTTACATTGTTAAACTGGGCACTGAAATCCACTGCTCACTCTCTTAATAGAGTATGTAGTTGTTGATGATCTGCTCAGGGTTAGGCTGGTTTAAGGCTTATGTGCCAACTACTCTTGGCCATTAAAACTTTCATCGTTGCAATATTTATTTCCACTCACGCCATGATGCTGTGACTTTGTGTGAGAGAATTGAATTTTGTTTTCTGCATGTGTGACTTTGCATTGTCCCAGCGAATTTTGTAACTACAAACTATTTTATATCTTATTTCATGAAACATAAGGGATTAAATATTATCATATAGTCCTTAGATCTCCTTGTTCTAGTTGCTGTCATGAAATCCATTATAGAAAGGCCCTGTAGTAGGGAGTGACTGGTCATATAACGCATTACAGTCAGGGACCAGAATAATGCGACATGCCCCACGTAAAATTCTGTCCATTGATCAAGGGCAATGTTCCTAGAAGCGTGCATCTCCTCATGTGTAAAACCTGTACTGGCTGCTGTCAGACTGTGCTTTCAATAATCACTGTTCAAAATTTCAGTCTAGCTGAAGTAAATGTAGAAAATACAAGACTTTGCAAACTCTCTCCTGTTGGGGAATCTAACTACGTTTCCACTTGACAAAGAGAGAGCACAGTCTCCGATGAGATGGGGCACTGGATTGTCACTCAGAACATAGGTATTTGCTTTCCAGCTTTGATGCTAATATGTTGTGTCACTCTGGGCAATTGCTCCATATTTTTGTACCTCAACTTCTGCCATATCTGGGGCAGGATCTGTTTCATATTGTAGTCACACTGCATGCAATAAGATCCGCTTGAAGTTTCAGTGTCATAAAAAATTACAGACTATGATGAGTCAGAATTTTGGTACTTAGAGGCACTGAACAAGCATTAACATGTTCTGGCTCATGTTCTGTCCATCTTTGAGGACATAGGCAAGATATTCCAGAAGACAAAGCACAGGACCAAGCAGGGAGACCTAGTTTTAGTCAATAAGAACTACTGACTCGAGATGTCTGTAGGTCCTGTGTCTCACTGTTCTGTTCTGTGTGCTGGAAATAACAGGAATTGCACATCTCTGAAAAACCCTTCAGGATCCAGAAGTAAAAATCATTTTGCAAGGACAAGTATAGAGAAGTGTGTATATATTTCAGGGGTGTTTCTATTGTCTGTCTGTCCACTGCTGTAGTTGAACATTTCATGCTTCCATGGAAGACTGAACATTTTGATACCATTTATTTCCTTATCTGCGGAGACCATAAATACAATATTGCTTTTACTAGGCAACTCTGACATTGATAACAGACATTTATAGAACATGTTCGGAAATTAGTATGTTTCGCTTAAATGGACTGTCAGTGTAATGACTTTAACAACAATACATGAGGTGCAATGATTTTGTATCATCAGAGAACTGTGTTTCTACTGCAAGGCTGCCCTGGAAGTGTCTTGTTTCCTTCTCTGATAATCTGTTTTGTTGCAGGAGAAGGACTGAGTTTTTTGAACTTGTCAGTAAAGGTGGTTATGATTGGAATATAAAAAACCACCGAGAAATATTTCGGTGAGCACTACTATTTCTTGCTTTCTGGTTATTATTATTAAGTGTAGCCATTATTTGTTTAAGGAATTTCATATATCATGGAGTGAAGACTTAGAGTATCAAGAGAAGATAGCTTGTTTTAAAAATATGATCCATGATATGAAATATATGGTATGATTTCTAAACATTACCAAACAGCAGGGATATAATCAGTGTGACCTCACCTTCTCCATTCCTATTTCTGCCTTCACACTCTGTCATGTTTTCTTCCCTTTCTCCCAGCCTCACCAGTTACTGCTCAGCCCTTCTGCTCTTTCTCCAGAACGCATCAATATTCTGCCTCAGGACACAAAGATCTTTCTTGTCCGTTTCCCCATTCCCTCCTCCTCTCAGCTGTTTTCTTTCACTGGCCATGCTTCTCTGTGCTCTTCTAGTCTGTACCTGGGAATTTGCAGATATATGGTACTCTTCTAGCCCTCACGAATGATCTGAGCTCGCATCCTATTGAAAACCTCAGACATTGTGGGTGGTTCGAGTACACCATGTTTTTGAGACAATAAAATGTATGCATTTGCATATGCATGCCTGATTATGTCTCATTTTATCTGAAATTTCATTAAAATTCTGTTTCCTTTCGGTCTTTTGAACAAAATATTGGCCATTTTCCATTTTCCATATCATTTCACCCATTCCTAATTTTAGATTCAGGCAATATATTTGATGCTTCATTTTCAGTGCCCTTGTTCTTCATTTAAACTTTCTCAGACTTTTATCTGCATCATGTACTGTACATAAACGCTTTCTACAGCTGAATGGTTTCTTTCTCCTAATGCATATAAAACATGGTTGTAGCTAGGTATTAAACTACAGTGAAACAGTATAGCTCATAGTAAATCTTAAATTTTTATTGTAGATGAGCAGTAGAAACTGCTTAAACAGTGCCTGGGATGCCTCCTGTGATTATAGGTTCTCTTGCTACAGCAGTCACTTACAAATAGGCATATAAATTAATCCAGTTTGCAGGTGTTATTATGTAATAATATCCTTACTTATATCATGTGAAGCACATGCTTTCTAGTATATTATAGGTATTAATGTAAGTAGTGTTAGAAGTATTGCAAAATTAGCAGTTACTCCCTTGCAATATCATTTCTTTTCTAGCGTACAATGCACAATACCGAAATTCATCGTCTGATGACCTGCAACACATTAGGCTTCCTAGGCACAATTGTGATGTAAAAGCCATGCTGATGGCTGAGATTTCAAACATGTCATTCTTTTCTGGAGGAAAAGAAGGTGCCAGGGCTGACATTTTATATATGTATTATTTATTTATGCATCCAGAGCAGAGTTGTTTAGAAATCCAACAAAGGTTGATTCAGCTTGTATTGTTCATTTCTGTTTTTCAGATCAATGCTAATGACAGCCTGTGACCTTGGAGCTGTGACCAAACCGTGGGAGATTTCAAGACAGGCAAGTCATGATTAATAGCAGGGCTGGGAGGAGGCGGGGCTGGCAGGACAATATTCCCAGGGCCCTGGCTTACAAGGGACCAAAACTGGACTCAATTTACAGCGGTATTAATGCTAGAAAAAAATAGCAGGGGGTTTCTGCAAGAAATGGTTTATTGCATAATCTTTCCATGTACACATGCTGGTGAGCAGCATGTAGGTAACTGAAGAGATCTGGCTTTACAACCTCTCCTCTTATTAACCTTTTAAATCCATATCACAAAATGGATGGATTAAACAAAAAAAGCATTAGCCACATGTAGCTGTGCTTACTTGTTTTGTCCCAAAGTTTTCCTTGGCAGTGGCAGAATCTTCCCTAAATCAAAAATACCAGCAGATGATCTGCAAACTTTGATTAGCATAAAATCTTCAGTATATATGATAGGAGAAATGTGTTCATTTTCTCAACACTGATGGAAAAATCTGCAATTGTAGTATAGAGCCTTTTTTAGCATCCTATACTTAGAAACAAACAAATAAAAATTCAGGCTTCTGCTGCTGAGTAGGCTCTTTAGAAATATACATAAAACTTGTGTCCAGCGTTGGCAAACAATTACAATGTGCGAAAGCAGCCTGTCCCAAAGTCTTGTCCTTTACCACATGATTTTCCCTCTTCTAGGCATCTTTCCTTACTCAGCATCCATCCTTAATATTTCCTGTACCCATGCTAATAATTCTCTGTCTTTTACTGACGTCCAGAACAGGCCAGTAGAAGGCAAGCTGTGTAGGGTTTTGGAGGAATATACAGCACCAAGAAGCGAATAGGAAATATACCCGTGCAACTGAGTGTGGCTAAGCACCTGGAGGGAGTTTGATTGGCTTAACAGCAAAGTGAGAGTTAAAAAGTACAAAGGTGGGGTGAAAAAGAGAAGCTAGACCAGAGAACTAGTGAGGCAGGAGGAGCCAGATTTCTTGGAGAAGGACAAGGAAGTAACAGAAGCTGAAAGGGACTTGCCCTCCTTTGTGGTAGAACGAAAGTTACATGCACATTAACTCAGTAAAAAAGCATTTATGTGGTGAGGGCTTCAGCTCAGCTTGCAGTTTGCTTTTATAAACAGACTATGACAATAGTCCTTTTAAGGCTGTTACTCTACTCGTTCAGAATATGGTCACCTCGCATGGAAATCGGGGAAGTTGTTTGTATCCTGCAGTGGGAAAATGAGTCACAAGACTTTTCAGTGCCACCTAGCCACAGCTGCAGTGCGTGCAATCCCTCCTCATTTTTCCTCTTTAACCCAGTTAGCTTCTCCATTTTCTTTAGCAGCCAAAATGTCAGGTAGGATCTGTTTTCCATGCTGTCAATCTTTGTGATATGGTGCTGAATTAGTGCTGAAGTCTCTGGCAAACTGGTTTTTTATCCTTATCGCTTCTGAGGTCTGCAGGTGAAAATTTCCCTGCAGCCTTGTGTACAGGTTTACTTTATATTGAAAAATCCAGTCTGGGATTGATTGAAACATTCCCTGGTTGCGCAGAGAGGCTAATAAGTCCACAGAGGGAAAACAGGAAATAGTTGGACCTCAACTGTGCCAAAAGGAAAAAAACATGAAAAGTGAGGGAGAAGGAGATTAAAGTATATGAATCAAAGGGAATAAAGGCTACATGTAAGAAGGCAAAATTCAGGAAGAGAAGATAGAAACAAACAAAAGAAGAGGGAAAAGGGACACGAGGAGAACAGGATCAGAATAGCAGTGAGAGATGGGTGAAACTATGTCTTGATTATTTTTATACAATACACTTGGCAAATCCTTTATTGCTGCTAAGTTGTTAAATTATTCCTCTATCTGGAGTATTGATCCAGAATTTTATTAGTGCGCTGGGATTACATACATTATAAAGTTCCAAACTGTGTGATAGCCTGGCTCAAGATTTAAGAGTACTTCATAACATCACCTCACCTACTTCTAATTTATTTTAGTACTCTCTATTTCAACTGTAACAAACTTAGGATTTGTGAATGTTAGCTATGCAGAAATTTTGAGATTTTATGAGGTGCAGGTTCTCTCCTTAGTTCACCCTCTTGTGCCTTGGCATTATGAAATAATTTCCTAGCTTGAAAACACTTGAAAACAATAAGGTGGCATGATAGGAGCTTTAGGAACTCAATGCCATCTTCAGTAGATTAGTTTCCTTTTTTTGCATCTCAAATGTCACATGTGCCTACCTTCTAAGCCCCACACATGAGAAGAGTACAGTACATAAAGGCTACTATATCAGGATTGCTCGCTGTTTGATTTCCTAAAATTCCTGTTGTTTCCATAACTAATTTTGTTTTTAAACCTTGTGTTCTTCTGCGAAGCACAAACTTCTGCTGAATAGAACATTTTCATTCACAAAAATCAGAAAGACGCATTCCAACATCCAACCCACCAGGTTCTTAATTTTGATTCAATATGATAATCACAATCTGAGTTCATATTTAGATATTCAGATCCTATAGTGATGACAGGCCTGGGAAAAAAGTAAAGCCTAGTGGGGAAAAAAACCTTTATGATTTCACATTAAATTAAGACAACAGAGGTTATTGGTTAATTTCTTTGACAAGTGAAGTTGTTTATACAGGGTAACAGCCTGTAACTACCCAGAGAGCTCTTGCACATTTTACAAAGCATTTTTACAGACATAATTGTGCATGCCAACAAGAAGCTATAATTTTCTCTTCTCTTCTAAATACTTGAGTAAGTTGCATATCACTGCATTGAGTGCTACCTCGAAATTGCAATGCAATTCCCCCAGTCAATTCCCTATCAAAAAGGGGTACGTGTGCCTATCAATGGTTGTGGCTATTTATACCCCCTGTACGCCCAGTCCTGAAAACTATACAAACATGTGCCTGACATCAGTCATGTAAGTGGGGCTATTCACTTCTTTACAGTTAAGCACAGGCTGAAGTCATGGTCTGAGGAAGAACTCATTACCCTAAAAATTATGTAGCAAGAACTCTAATCTTTATCATGATTTATGTTTTAGGCAGCTGAGCTGGTAACCAGTGAGTTCTTTGAACAAGGAGACAGAGAAAGATCTGAACTCAAACTCACCCCTTCAGTAAGTTTTTATCACTTCTGAAATAGTTACTAACTTGAATAGGGTAAGAAAATATCATTGGGTTCATTCAGAAAAACTAACTGTATTTTGTATGTAAAGAAAAATTTTGCAGTAAATAAAAGCTCTGGCCCATAAGGACATGCATTTAGAGCCATATATAAAAAGCTCTACAGTCAACTCAGTCACTTTTGCATTAAGCCCTTTTTCCCATTTTCTGTATCTATTCCCAAGGTTATTCTGTCAGTTAATTTTCTAAGCAACAGGTATTGTTTTTAATACACAGTATTCAAATAAAAAATCACCAGCTACTTATGGAAATCAAAATTGACAGATTTACTTTATGCTGCAGCTGTCTGTCTGTTATTTGATGTATCAAATGCTGAAAAGCATTTCTGTACATATACAACTAAATATAACACTGTGATTGAAACGATAAATTGGTATTGAGTGGAATATAGGCAGATGGGTATAAAGTGTCAAACAAGAACTAAGAAAAAAAGTTTCATAAAGATTTTCAGAGAACTATTTGAAGAGAAAGCCTTATCCAGGTTAAATACCTCAAAATGTTGACCAGCCATTATCTGGAGGCAATAGGAGAAGGATAACAGAAAATATTCTAAAGAATTTAACTTACAAGCCATTCACAAATACGTTTATGCTTCCAAAAAATAAAAAGACCATTCCAGTGGCTCAGACTTGTTCTCATTTTGATAATACTCGCACATGAGATAATGTAATGAAGTCATTAAAGCTAAAAAGTTTGTAGTAAACAATGCTCAGATACAATAAATGGCTTTTCACTTTGTATGCTGTCAGAGGTTGGGACATTAATGGATTTCTTCCCTGTAGTAGTTCTGTGTGTACATCTCAGAAAAAATGGTAGCTATAGTTCAGTAGAAGAGTAATCTGTCAGTCATGGTATTCACAATTCTGAGACCAAATCTGGGCCTGAATAACTGCAAGTACCATTCCATACAATATGGATATAAGTGCCTTTCCTACCTTGTCTATCAAATTTGCAAAATGTGTCTCTCATGATAATGAAGCATAATAGGAAGTACTTTTATTTCAACACATACATTAATATTACTGTCTTCAAGTAGCAATGAATTCCAGTGCAAATGGCCCAGGTCCAGCAACCTTAAGAATTATTTTAAGGTGTGTTATTACATCTACATTTTGGACATACTGTAGACTTGGTAGAAGTGCAGAGAAGGACAAAAGCCAGAGCTTTCTTCTGGACTCATGTCTTCTGAAAATTTGCATCCGACAACCTAGATAGGTGTGAAAGAAGAGTGTATGGCTATAAATATCTTCAGTATTTCCTCCATCATAGGAGCCCTCCCACTCTTCCTTTGAGATCTACAGTCTGTACCAAGGAATACATGGGCCACATGTGGCTTTGAAGCCATACAGCTTGAAGGAAGATTTTCCTCTCTGTTTGGCCCTTCACAATTTCAAAGAATCCAGTAAACTGATGTATTAAGTGTTTTATGTTGGGAGATAAGGCCTGTAAATAATCACAAAGTTCATCAGTTCTAACAGTTGATGGCTAAGGGTCAAAATCATGTAGAGTTTTACCATATTAATGAGGAATTTTTAAACAAGATCAAATGCTGATGTATTTCATGACATATCACTATGACAAGCCACCTAGATAGGTATTGCTGCTAGTTAGATAAGAGAATTGTTAGTCAGCAAGATAATGTGATATTCTCTTATCTTACAACTCAAAGATTTTTTTCTTGCATTGTGTTTATACCAATCTGAAAATGACAGGATTTTTCAAAATTATTTGAATAGGAAATACAGAATTCTCCAAAATCAAACCCAAGGTTCTCATTTAAGATCACAGAGTCCTTGAATCTTACCTCCTGGTCTTGTTTAGATACACTGTGTGATACCTGTTTATGTCAGAAAGAGCAGGCTACAACTAGAAGAATTCAACCAGACATTTAATGTAATGTAATATGTATAGTCTGGAGTTTCTGGAAGGTACAGAAGGCAAGTAAGGTTTCTCAGGAGACATCAACCTTGAGGAGATGGGCCCAGAATAAGAACAGACTTTCCACAGAAAAGGACAGAAAGATTTAAAACTTGGCATATTCAGAGAGTAAAAAAAGGCGTTCAGTAAATGGTACAGATGGACCACTAGAAGGAGGATTAAAATCCTGTAGACAGAAAGCTGATGGACCCAAGTAATCTCAGGCAGGGTGTGGAGGAAACTCAGCTCACATTCAAACTCCTCAGAACTCAGTTTCTTCCATCTCCTTTCAGCCAATAATTGAGCCTCTTAAACATCAGCTTCGATCTCTATAATTTCCTCTCTGGGGGAGCGCCGCAAGCAGTGAATTAGGCTGTTTCCAGAGGAACAAATTGATAACTGCTCCCAAAGCGGATCTGTTGATTCTCCATCCTTCGGATTCACAGACATGGCTGGTTCTGCAGAAAGGGTCTGTAACTGGGAGGGAGGGAGCCAGCCCAGATCCATCACTGTTCATTTTGCTGAGCTTGAAAACCCTATGTGAGAAAAGGGAAATTTCTACTCAAAGGTACATACTTTACATTTCTACAGGAGGTTTCTTACCAGCTCAACTCCAACTGTGGAGCATTTATTTTACATCACAGAATTATAAGATTAAAATACATTCAGCCTACAAATTTCAAAACAGAATTGAAAATAAACAGTTTATTTTTCATGCCAAAGCAGTAGGGAGACTGCTGCAAAGATTGATTATGGTTTACAAAGTGTTCTGGTTGTGAGAATTTGATCATAGCTCCAAAGTGCTGGATGATGTGTCTGTAAAATACTCCAGTGTAATAAAGCATGACAGTTTTGTTCCCTTCTCAATTCAGGCCATTTTTGATCGGAACAGGAAAGATGAACTACCCAGGTTGCAGCTCGAGTGGATTGATAGCATCTGCATGCCATTATATGAGGTAATTTTTACTTACTGCTCCTGTAGAGTCCAGAGAAGATTGTTCTTGGCTCTGTAGAGAAAAAGAGTTAGCTTACAGTGCAGCCTTGAAGGCTATTTGAACTCTTATCTTTCTTTGACTTTACCAAAAGTCTGCTATCTATACAGATATCTTCAGGTTCCCTGAAGATGGTAATTTCTGTAAACATAATTCCTCTCTAAGTTATAAAAGCTGATAGGGCAACTGTTTATTTTATTATGTTTGAGACAAACTGATTCCCATCATGGCAAGGTGTAGAGTGCTCTGAAGAGAGGTGCCAGAGGGACAGCCTCGTTAGGTGCTGCTGTCAGACCTGTCCAAATATGTGTGACCCAAAGGGGAGCTCAAGGCTGAGCCTTTGCACTCCTTTCTGGTTCCTTTCCAAACTGTTTAGGGGCACTCTAGGCCAAAGTCTTTAAGGTCAGTGACAAATGATTTGTGGTTTAACCTGTGTGCTGTTTAACTTGGAGTTTACTCTTTTAATCATGCTTCTACACAGACTGTGTGGGTGCTTGGTATAAGGTGTGTAAGCTCTCACGTACTACTTTATTAGGGCCACAGATGACCAGAATAATGCTTCTCTCTTTTTGGATTAAACCAGCTTCAGAATTTGGCTTGTGTACATAAGCTTCACTCTTTTAACTTCTCTCTTCTACATATAGAAAGCAAAGCTACACAAGTAGGATGATAAATGGAAAATAACACTATAGAAACTTAACCATCAATAACTTTCTTAGCCAGTCTTCCTCCTACTCACTGAAACCACACAGATTGCCTTATGCCACTAAAGACTGCCAGTTTGGCCATTGATATCTGAGAAAACATGGGGATGTTCTCACTAGGCATTTTTGGGGACCTGCAACAAGTTTTCCCTGTTACCCCAGACTGCCTCACATCTCCGAGCAATGAATGAGTCAGTGATGACACAAAGCCAAGAGCTGGGAAGCAGGTACCAGCTACCATGTTAACATTAAACTGTTGAACTTCTGCCTGAATGTAGCTTCCCTCTACACACACAATAATGGTTTAGCAGTTCCTTTCGTTTTACAGACCAGATGTGTCACCGATAGTAAACGAGGTAAGAAGGATGATGTGCTTCCCCTGCCCTCTATACCTTGTGGCATCTGAGGCTGCCACTGTGGCAATAATGAAGTGACTGCCCAGCAGCAAAGGCAACTTGTGTTGTGTGACATGGACAACATGCGCTTGTGTAAACAGTGAGGTGGGCTACTGCTTTGCCGGTAGATCCTGTCCCTTGCTTAGGTCAGTCGATATCATGATGAAATAAACTAAATCTATGGCTTTCAAACAATTAAGGCAAAGTAAGCACAGAAGAAGAAAATAAACCTATATTTTTTAAAATACCAAAATAATTTTGGACAATATGGGGTGGGGGGGAACTGACCTTCGATGAAAACTCTTTAAAAATAATGTTCCTTTCAATGTAATAGTTCATATTACACTAGAATGCATATTATACCAGAATTCGTGATTTGTAATAGCATCTGTAATCCAAAAATGTACAATAAAGCAGGAAGAGCTGATAATCATACCATCCTCTGCATGAGAAGACTACATCTGAGCACTAAAGCTCTGGTTAGTTAGCTCCATCTTAGCAGGAGATCTCTGGGGAATATATTCACATCTGATTTCCCTGCTTTCTGCTGTCTTTGCATCATGCTGTGCAGCTATTAGCCTGCTGCTCAACAACTTAAAAAAGAGACACCATCAAACCTGGAAGTCATTGCAGCACCAGCCTTAGGGGTAAACAGAAAACTTGATGTCATAGTATCACACTGCGGGAGATTCTCTCTTCAATGTGAAGCCAAATTTTCATTTTCATATCCAGCTTAATCAAACCTCAATACACATATCACATCAGCAGTGTATTCAGGCATTGTAAATCCTCCGTTTAGGGCTGGCTGAACACTACAACTATGGCCAAGTCCTAGCTTTCTTTTTTTTCTTTCCAAATACATTCTTTAAAATTCTAGCTGTTGTAATATGTTGTAGGGACTGCATGTGGGGATAGAATGGGTTACATCATTACAAATGCAACATAAAGAGGCAGAGTGGCAGCTGACAAATTAGTAAAATCTTAGCGGTACTTGTATAGCTCACTAGCATAGTGCTTATAAAAACCGTATGTTTGACATAAACATTTGACACTCATTGTGATACCAAAATTACAACATTAAACCACAGAGAACAAAATCAAGGCTTTTGCATGTAACTTTTTCCATACTAGTGATTAGAAGTTCTGAATCCGTGTGGGCAGATCCTAGCATCCAGAGCCCTGAAGGGAACTCTGTGGGGAATGCATGTGTCCATACCAATGCAATTGCTACAGCAGGACCTAATGCTGTGCTCTGTTTTATTTGACACCCACACAGTAGAGATTCACCAGCAACCAGTGAATGCCGGCAACTCCCATTAAAGTCAGACAGGAAATCAGCAGAGCCCCCTGAAATTTTCTTTGCTCAAAGTAGTTCCCAAGAGTAGGCTATTCTTGGCAGCTGCGGATGTCTGAAGTATGCAGTGCAGAAGGAACTTCACTGCCCAAACTCCCAGGAATGGTCTGACACAACCCCAGTTGCCACTGACAATACTATAACAAATCGTATCTTCTGCACAGTCGAAGCTTATGAGCTAGGCCACATACCAGAGTGCCCACAAGGGATGTTTCATACTTAAAACAATATATAAACTTTGCAGAGCATCCTAGCCTTATTTTTTTTCTCAGTTCTGAAACATTCTTTGGGGCTTGATCGTCTTCTGGGGAGATTTGGCTCTACCTCCTCCTTATGCATCTGCTCTGCTCTCTGCGTTTCCTTAAGATAGCTCAAGACAACCCACTTTGAGGTGCAGTTCTTCTCCCAAGTAAAGGATAATGAAGTCTCCTTCATTGGGGTATGTGTATCACAGCCCTCTGCTTACCTGGCTAAAACTGTTCTCTGAGTTTGGCCCCTTTTTGTCAGAAGGTTTACAAGTGACTAGCAAATCCACAAGATCTCTGCACCTTCCATTAGTAATCCTGTTTGACTGACTGCCCCTTGGAATGCCCATCTGACCCAGAAGAAACTAAGTTGAAGATATACAAAACATGCTACATCATAAGCTAACGTGGAGCTTGAAGCTAAATATAAATAAATAATAATAGCTGGGGATAGAAGAAAAAAAAAATCAGGAATTATACACAGCTAGATTTCCCATATCCAAGTGTCTAAATCCAAAACTTTTTTGCATTTGCTCTGTAAGCCTGACTCTGCTCTTGGCAGAAGGTAAGCCATGGCTCTGCTCCCTTGCTCTCTCCCACATCTGCTGCTAAATGTGGGAATCAAGCCACCTCCAATTTTGAAATACGTTAGTAATCAAATCTGTTTCCTTCACACTGGATCAAAGGTTTGGGAAGAGAAAAGCTTCCCAATTTTTTGTTCATTGCTTTTTATTACACTTGGGACATTATAATTTTATTGAATTTACTTTTTTGTTACTGTAGTGATCACTGATCAGAGTATTTTTATGTGACAGTGGAGTTTTTGCCTTGAATAGCAGAACAGCCATCCATTTACCCGGAAGCTCTGGTTTTAGGGGCTTTAGTTACGCTTTACTACATCACATTTGCTCTTCATTCAAAAATGCCAGCAAGAAAAGAGTTCATCAGTAGCGATGAGAAACAAGCTTACTAGAATAATAATTTATAAGGAAAAATGCATTTTTTGGAACTGTAGAGCATTTCAAATCTACTAATGTAGGCTTCAGTATGAAGTAATCATCCCCTTTTTTTTTGGTAGAACATTCTATAAAGGAGAAGCACATACAACTAAAGCAGAAAAATCTAAGCCCACTGAAAATAAAGCACTATAGCTACACTGACAGCTGTGTTCACTACACGGAGAAAGTATTCTATTTGGACATACATGTTCATGTAACAGAAAACAGAATTCTGATCATTAAGACATTACCTCTCTGACCCTCCAGTAAAGAGATGCTAAGAGTTTCAACACTAATAGATTTCTCTCCTGGACTCTGTGGTTTGTGTGTACCTAAGACAGGATAAGTCACAGATTCTTCCCAACTCAGATTAGATTTCTCTGTGGGGAGCAGACAGAGTGGGAGAGTGAAGATCTTACTCTTTTTAATCGTTATTTTTCTCACAAACAACATCAAAGCTTCAGCGATTCACTCAAACAAAAGATGCTAACAGAAGCCCAGCTCTGTTCACAGCATTGTTAGGCAGAGACAGTAACACTATGAATAGCAGGGCCAAAGGCCATGCACTCTGCTTCTGGGCAGATAAATACATAGTCAGGTAGTCAGTGACAATGACAGCAGCTATTTAAATTTAAGGGAGATGTCTTTGTGGAAGATAAAGCAGCTCACGGCTTTTACAACTTATGCGTGCCTGAGATTGCCCTGCTCACCTCTACCTTGGTGCTCCATTGAACTGCTCCATTTTAGTGCTATTTTTAGTGCTATTCAAGATTTTCTTGGGTATTGAGAGTTTTAAACATATAATAGTATCTACAGAAGTGAATTTGCATTACTCCATCCAGGATTCTAGGGGGGAATCTGGAAAGAGTAGAAATGTTTATGTTAGCCTAGCAAGTACTTTAAATGTTTTGAATGGAATGTGGAGGGACAGAGTCCTTCTTTATCATATTGTTTGACGTACTTAGAAAGCAATCTAATCACTCTGTCTGCAACTCCAAGAGCTCTGATGTGCCTGTCTTCCTACAGATGATAATATCTGGCCTTGTAATTAAAGATATCTTTAGAGTATGATGCTGTAGCTGCAAAAGCATCTATTCTGCTTGTAAGCATACATTAAATGCATAGGGTATCATAAATGGTAGAGCCTCTACAAAGCACAGAAATCTCCAACAATCATGGCTACCTCTGTGCTTTAACTTCTCTGGTTCAAGAGTTGACTTTGACACCTGAATTGAAAGTGCATATGCACACACAGTGATTTTTTTCTA